AGAGATCCATCCTTACTACAAGCAGCACTCAGTGCCTTCTTGCAGAACTTTCCTCAGATTACGTGTGTTTGGAGATGTATCAGTTTCTTCAATGACGCCGTAAACGAGTTTAAAATATGGATCGGATGAGGAAATATTGCGGAAAATCGTGGTTCAACAATAGTATACATAAATATGCCTCATGGAAGCTCTCGGAATAAAAAAAGTAACTTCCCTTATAAACAACGCAAACTGTATCCAGTGATAGTGTGTGCTGTAACGAGGATCTTCATGAGTTGGCATTTTATTTGACACCGATAACTCTCGAGCCTTTGTTACAATCTGTTTCGGAACGCATGTTAAACATCTGTCCCTCTGCTGCTATTAAATAATTTCACATATTTTCAGACATGATATCTGTGAGGATATTGCTGTATCCAGTAGAGTAAATGGACTTCCCTCTATAAACCAGAACACGTCATACTTTGTATAAGCAAACTTAAGGAAGAAAAGTCATATGTTAAGTATGTCTGAATTTCCCACAGGCTTATGAGAACGGAACTATGTCTGAAATAAAACCTAGCAGCTTGCCTAATGGTGATCTGTCTACGTCACTAAGTGAAGGAGGCACATCCTTGTCCACACAGCAGATGCAGTAGATATGATCTAGTGCAAGTGGGTTACTGCTTCAGATGGGACCCTTGCTTGCAAAGCGACTGACTTCTCTCGAACCCCAACAACGCCAGGCCCCGTCTCCACCCCTTTCTTAGCGCAGGGGCGACCGAACAACAAGAGGGACTTTATACTTTTGGAAACTTTGGAACCGGGGCAAAGGTGAGTTATATTTCTGAGCCATTTCTCCCCCTCACAGCATCTATCTCAATTCTCCCAAACCCCAACCCTTCTCCGTCATTCTCATAACCCGAAACCCATTCTCTCTTTCTCTAAGTGATATCTGCTACACGGTAAATCAGACTAAAAAACGGAGTGAAACCAACAGCTTGGTCTCCTCATTCCTTTCCAGCCGCCTCCCACCACCCACTGCCTCCACCCCACTGACTTCTTCAATCCCTTCACCCCACCCCCCTCTTAACAACATGGCGTATGTCTCTCTCTTATCGCAATGGTGTTTTCTCTCCGATGAGAATTTTGGACAAATTAGTCATCAGTTTTTCTTCATCCCTACAATCATCCCTCTCTTTTCCACTATCGTTGCTTTCATCTCCGGCTTCTTTTCCCACCCTCCATGTATAAAGTGGTGGCAGCAGCGTGGATGACGAGAGAAATACGACCATATTTATGCAATTCTCCCTTTTCGCTTTCCTTAGTTTTTATTGTCTCAGCCTCCCTAACTGGTGGCTGCAGCAGGAATGGAACCCATGTATCATTTGCAACAGACTTCTTGTTAGGTATCAGGGTTTAAAGTAAAAACACCTACACTCTGTGCGACATCTAATTCCTTATATCATAGTCTACGAAGAAGTTACTTTATATATCCTCCTGTTACTACTGCTGCTGCTTTCGTACACTGCAGCAAAACATCTCTCCTTCCTGTTATACAGTGATTGCATCGTGAAGTGGGCGTAAACAAACAAACTCACCTTAATGGCTTGATTTTTGACTTATTACAAGACAATACAAGGACTCAGTTCCAAAGTAAGAGAGACCTTGACCACATAGCGTATACAACTGGGAGAAGAATAAAAGCTGTCCTTTTGCCTAACTAACAAACACTACTCCATGAAAGCATATGGGGAGTGGATGTATAGATTCACATATTTGACCTCGGCACTAGTTGCAGGTGAGTAGTCAGCTTCACGCCACTGCCGCTTTATCCCCGGGGTAAGAAGCCCCCGGTAACCATTCGACAGGAGGTTGGGTGAGCCCCAGAGCGGGTCTGGACGACGTGGAGAAGAGGAAATTCTTGACCCTACCGGGACTTAAACTCCGACCTCTATGCATTCGAACCCTTAGCGGGAAAACAGTAATACGAAACAAAAACATGGATGTGAAATGAACAGCTGCAAATGAGAACTCAAGCAATATTGAATTTCTTTCACTTATGTAAAAACTACAGAATAAAGTCACTACCAGGGGATAGATAACGAGAATTAAAATCAGCACTTCAAAGGGAAGACTGCGCTGAGGCTGTGTTATCATAATGTTTAGCACAGGTACCTGATTACATATATCTACCCGTATACGTATTAAAATGTGCGCTTAGGTGTGAAACGATTTGTAGAGGACTTGTATCCCATACAAGTTCCGAATTGTATGATACAAGGTTTCGCGAGATAAAGTTCTGGTCCATAAAAATTAATTGTTCTGTGCATGTACAGGAAAAGATATAATTTAGAAATGAAAGCAAACGAAGAGATTATCTTAGTGAAATACGGGAAATTTTATAGAGTGATGTGGCGGAAGTGGAAAAGAAACTGAATAGTTAAAGTTAAATCTCGCCGGTCACGGTAGCCGAGCGGTCTAAGGCATGTACTGTCTTCACTCGCCTGGAAACAGGGATCATGGGTTCGAATCCCACTCAGGGCATGGATGTTTAGTTTGTGTGTGTGTGTTTTTCTGTGTTTGTGTACAGGTAGAGGCCTTGAGACGAGCTGATCACCCGCCCAAGGAGTCCTACCGAATGTGTAAGATCTAGAAAAACCGAAGTGAACGGAGAAGTTCATGCAGGTAGGCCTAGGCCCAATGGGGCTGTAGTGCCAAGGGGAGAAAAAAAAAGTTAAATCTCAGTGCAACGAAGCGAAATTTAGCAACCACCAAATCAATAATAATAAAGTAATACAGGACTCAGTATTTAAGTACAAATTACCTGATGTCTGATTTTCCACCGCCATACATTGCAACACTGTAACCATTTACAAAACAATTCCATGTATAGAGTAAGTCTAAATTATTGTCGGAGATTCTGTGATTTATAAACAGAAACCCTGACAACAATTTAGAATCACTCTGTAGTTCAAGCGGAACTTAGTACTTTAGTACTAGGACTTTACACTTCCTGGCTAATATTCGGCCCAGAGACCGGTTATTTTGAATGAAATTCTTCTTGTTGTTTTCCTCAGACCCTCCACACAAATTCTGACATAATACCTTAAACTAGGCACCAATAATTACAACTTCAATTTCAATTAATTATTGAATAATCATCTTCTCATCTGACGATTTATATTCTTAGCAACTGATGAACCAGAAGTTAATCAATTTGATGTTAATTAATGATTAGTTGATAAATTAATGTTATTTAATGTCGATTAGAACCTAGAAACAACCAAACACACCTACATAAGAGCCACACAACGTCAGTATGGAAAAACGAACGAACCAAGCAATGTCACTATTACCATTAACTTATTACACGTATTTGAAATGAAAGTGACTCTTTTCGAAATCATACCACGATTTATTCCGTAATGCAAGGCAAATGGCGTTAAGAACTATGAAATTGTTGACTTATCGCCGAATCTGACGTCCTTTGTAAGTACACAAGTCGCTGGAAATAGCAAATTTAATAGCAACATTTTACAAATATTCTGTCAGTCAAGTTGTTCTAATTTTCCAGTCACGACTGTTAAGAACTTCACTGGTGCGATCCGTGTTCTTACTTCCTGAGCATAAAATTGATTTATTAATGCAATGTGTACGTACAGTCTATTACAGATTTACTCTCTTATGGAGTTTCTTTAATTAACAGTGCAATGTCAATATGTAATTTTGAACAACACTTATGTTATAGCATAAATATCTATGGTTCACAGCATCGTTTATTATAAGAAACCTCTAAGTTTTTCTTTTTCTTTCACATATTTCCATTCTAAGTTTAATTTCTTCTAATAAGGAACGACTTCCTCAAAAATGAGACAGTCCATAAAAATAGGATTCCTGTGTTAATGTTTTCAGTTCACCGCTGATTTAAAGAACAGTTCCCGAGTATTTCACAAATATAATATCCTTCCAATCACTACGTATTCCGAACGAAACAATTTCCAGTCCAAGAAAATTAAATTCTACTAGCAGTTATGTTTTTTGAACTCGGGTAATACTTGCTACCACTCAGTCGAGAACCGTTTGTTTTCTCGTCAGCTGTCCAAAAAATAAAAATTAGAATATAAAACACTATACTTTTTCCTGTGACTCTGTATGGGCGGAAAACTTTGTCTCTGACATTAAGGGAGGAACATAGACTGAAGATATTTGAGAAAAATGTGTTGAGGGGAATATTTGGACCGAAGAGGGATGAAGTGACAGTGAGGTTGGAGAAAACCGCACAATGAGGAGCTTCATAATTTGTATTCTTCACCAAGTATAATTAGAACTATCAAGTCAAGGGTGATGGGATGGGCAGGGCATGTAACAAGAACAGGGAGAAGAGGAATGCATATAGGATATTGATGGAGAAACCAGAACGAAAGAGACCACTTGGTAGATCAAGAATTAGGTGAGTGAACAATATTAAAATTATGTTAGAGATAGGATGGGATGGTATGGATTGGATTATCTGGCTCAGGATAGCCACCGATGGCAGGCTCTTGTGAACACGATTAATTAACACGGCTGGCGGTATTCTCCCAAGCGGTAATTACGAGTATGTATGGCTTTGAAACGTAACTGATTACTCACTCACTGATGGAACTGAGCACTTCTTGAGAAGCCTCCATTCGCTCAGCTACTCATGAATTTCTCAGCATTTTACGGAACCCGAAAGTTCATTACCGTGTTCACAAGAGCCTTCCACTTATCCCTATCCTCAACCAGATCAACTCACTCTATACCAATCCATTCTATTTCTCTAAGATATTAATTCTGTATCGATGTAACAACCCAAGAATAGAATTAACATCAGCAAATAACCACCTTAAGAGCCTCAAACGAGTAACATCTTTATACCTCATTTGAGATGAACTTAGTTAATTCGGAAACAATTCTGAGTGGCGATCAGGTATCTATTTGTAAGAAACAATTTATATATTAATATCATAGAAGACAACGCAGTCTTCTGAGCTTACCCTTGATCTTCTGTTGCTGATGTCGGCTGTTGAATGCGCCCTGCTCTCGTTAATGGCCTCGTCTTCTCATCCACCTGTAACATAACAATTAAAGATAATACTTATTTTCTGCTGCCTATATTATTAAGAACTCTTTCCCACACAACTGAATTCTGAGAAAATAAATAACTTTTGCTCGTCCAGGTCCTCAGATGGATTTCAGCGTACTGAAAGGCCTCAAGACAAAGAGTAACTCACTGAGAACGAGGAAAAATAAGAAACATATGCTTGAAGAAGCGAGATTTGAGCCTCAAATCAAAGCGTAATCGCGATAAAATATCACTGTTAGATGCAAAGCAAAGAATGCTGGCAATAATATATGTAATTAATATACACTTCACGTATAAAAAGGATAGGGCGCAAGATATCAAAATGTAGATAATACCAGAAGTGATCATGAAGCAAAGGCACCTTTCTCTGTTATACACACAGGGTTACACGCTAATATAAATGTATAAATGTTATATTTTAGCGTCCTGTTGCGCTGATTCATGTCCATGATTTATGCTAACCTTCTTACAGTGCAAACACTTTTTCACCTTACTCTTCTCTTTTACACTACATGCTTCAGCACTAATGTGCCATCTTTAGGTGCGTCTCTATGCACGTCTAACTACTGCATTGCATGCTCTGATGTCTTCATACTAAAATGACTAAAATATACATATTCGTCATGTATAATAATAAATTTTAAATATTAAAACTTTTCAGGATTCGTCATCCTTACGTCGTATAACGCAATCAGTCACAGGAGCAAGACACAACACAGAGCACAATACACACGCGAAAGTAGGAAGAATGCTCCCACAGAGGAGGATTGGCGTGATTCGTGTATTGAGATACGACGTAAGGATGACGAATCCTGAAAAGTTTTAATATTTAGAATTTATTATTATACATGACGAATACACATTTTAGTCATTTTAGTATGAAGACGTCATGGCATGTAGTGCAATAGTTTGACGTGCATAGAGACACACCTGAAGATTGCACATTAGTGCTGAAACATGTAGTGTAAAAGTGAAGAGTAAGGTGAAAAAGTGTGTGCGCTGTAAGACGGTTAGCATAAATCATGGATATAAATGCATAAATATCATATCATTTTTGGACCAAAGAGGAGTGAAACCATAGGAGGTATGCATAATGAGAAGCTTCACAACTTGTACTCTTCACAAAATATAATTAGAATGATAAAGTGTAGGAGTATGAGATGGGCAGGGCATATAGCTCGCATGGGGAAGAATATTAATGCATAAAGGGTTTTTGTCTGAAAATTTAAAGACAGCTGGAAAAACCCAGATATATATGGGAGGATAATATTAAAATGAATCTTAGAGAAAGAAGATGTGGTGATATAGACTAAATTAATATGATCAGGATATGGACTAGTAGAGGGCTTTTGTGATTACGGCAATGAACCTTCCAGTTCTATAACATGTTGAGAAATTAAGTAGTAGATAAGCAAGTGTCTTCTTAAGATGTATTCAGCTCCATCGAGTTTGTTAAATGTCATATCGGAATCCATACAGTTATTAGAAATTATATATCATATAGGTCTGGTAAGTGGGTTGGGGGGAGGGGGGAAACAAAAATATCCGACTTCGTGTAAAATGCATCGAGTTGAAGAGGCAGAGAGAAAGTTTGTTTAGTTTGCTGGAACTGTAACTAAGCGTACCGCTTGCTATATATTGGAGCTATTGCCACAAGGATTGGCCCGGAAGGGAAAACTCGATTTATGAAATGGTCATAAAGTTTATACGATTTTAAGGTTGCGATACGAGTAGCTCGAGGTTGGTACGAGTGGATCCCTTTGCCTTGAGACCTGCATGCTACTGGACCCTTATCATAATCATGTTCCCTCCAGTGTTATCTGTTATGGTGGTTCGAGAAGTCATTATGTCTGCAAGAAAATTACTCTAAATTTATTTAGCTTATTATTTATCATATTTTATTATAAATGTTTTTCACTTTTCTAACCTATTAATGATAACTTTAATTTTTTCATGGAATTATTATTAATTTATTGCTATTGTACAGACTGCCTTATTTTGTATTTTTCTGTTAGCTTTTGCGTCCTTCTACGTACTCGTGCTAAATTTGTAATTGGCCTCTGAGCTATTAAGTTTGCGCATATATAAACAAGAAATGAATTGAAGTACTATTAACATTCTTTCTAAATATTTATATTTTACATTTCCCAATTCTTAATAACAAGGGACACATGTGTTAATGGAATTATTATTATAACTACTTTGTTTTTTTGTTTGTTTACTTCTCTGCATTAATGTGTTTTTCCTCTAGTGCCTGCCTGTAATTTGCCTTTGACTTTATTTTGTGATTGTCTATAATACAATTACTTGTATCTTCCCTGTGCCCTGTCTGTACTTTGGCTTGTGGCTATTGACTCGGCACATAAATAATTAAGAATTGAACTGACTTCATTACTAGTAAGTATTTTGTTTGTATTTAGGATATTCACTTCGATATTAATGATTCCTTGATCTCTAGGTTAGTTAGTTAGTTATTGGAGAGGGTGGGTTTCCCCATGCACTGCGACCTGTATTGGTCCATTGTGCTTCCCTCTATGATTTCTACCAGTCTCTATATCCTACCGGTACTGGTGCTTACCATCAGTCCCGCCCAGCCAGCGAGACCGGCTTTACTAGCTGAGAGGTATCTATAATGCTTCCTCCTTCTACTAGAGGTAATAGAGATTGCTGTTGGGCGGGAAACGTCCGTAATTTGGCTCAGTGACCTTTGGAGATATGAGGTTCTTTTACGTGCCGTAAAGCTACGACACGGGACCCATGGCTTAAAGTCCCTCCCGGAGGACTTGTTCCCTGAATTTTTCCGCCCTTAAAAATTCGACGACCTCCGCCGGGTATTTGAACCCGCGTACTACGAGTCATGAGGTGGGAACGTTACCTCTAGACTACGGAGGCCGCTTGATCTCTAGGTTAATTATCAAATATGGAGTTTTCATTGTCCGTTTGCATGAAGTTTATTAATCACATTCTCCTAAGGTCCGTTTCCAGCACAAGTGTCCGCTCACCATACAATTCCTGCGTTATCCTCTCTGGCGAAACAAGAAGAAGGGCTTTAATTATGAAGGTCCATTTTATGTAGGAGTAGTTCTAGTTAAGTTTTATATTTGCAGCATACAGGTCTCAGAGTCAGTCTTTTCAAACTCACGAAACAGCAAAACTTATTTCCAGAACTACGGAGTTGTATGAAGCTGATGCCCCATAGACTATAATCTTATATTACAGCGTCCTTCCAGACAGTTGGCATAGAAGTATGGGAAGGAGGACGTATTAAAACGCATGTTACCATGACCTACAGGTATCACACCACAAAGTTTCTTCTCATAAATTACTGCAGATATGCTATATGATTGTGTACAGCTGCACAGCTGTTAGCTCTAAGTCATAATTCTTTGGATTAGAACAATTCTTGCCTCGTAGGAAACGAACTGCTTCCATGTCTTCGTACTAATAGATTGGACCCTTGAAAATTACTGAAATAGCTCAAGCCATTATTTGATTTGACGTGACATTGCGGCATATAGACTCGTTGCTAGGTAACGGCAGCGAAAGAAACGAGATAACGGTCATTGATAGGCAACAGTTTCGTAAATAAGCAACAGTACCGTAGCCGTTGCTAGGCAGAGGCCTGCGAGTAACAATGGAAGTATTGTTGGAAGCGGTGTTCTCTATTAATCTGCTCCGAGGTTATGTCACTTGGCCGACCGAGTTTGAGGTACTGAGTGCAGTGCAGAGCAGTGGAGCTAGTGCAGTGGAGTGAAATGACTTGGTTGGTGAGTGACTTAATTGATAGGTTGAGAGTTTGGAAATTGGGAGCCAGTTCAGTTTGGGAGCTGCAGTGACAGCCAGCGAGGACGTGAAGCAGTGAGCACGTAAATTTGGGTATCTACGGCGTTTGGAGCCGTACCAGACAAGGACTGGCTATGACACAGAAGACTGAGAAGACTTAGTACGTGTTGTAGTGTACTGCTGACTGTAAATTAGCGATAGCGCTATACTTACTTGTAGTTACGATATGTCAGTGATCAATAAATTTAATTACCAATCCAAACCAGCCTGTATCAAGTGACAATATATACTGGTTGCGAGATTCACTGTGTATTTATTTTTTAAGAATCATATTCTGATGAATATGGAACAGGTAGGATGATATGGGCTCGTAATGAAATATGTTTGGTATCTTGCTCATGATTCCGTAAATCTGAAACCTTACAAATAATCAAATGTTACACCAAAGTAATTCATTGATCTGATAGCTACAATATAATGCCTAACTAAATGTCGTACAGGCTGTTTATGGCAATGAAGAGGACGTGGCGTAGGAGTGATTTCCTAGTTGCATTAAAATGTCAGTTACATGTTAAGGTCTATCATAACATATAATATAGGGCAAATTAAAAATTCGCTTGCGCACTCACTCGCTTTTTATCTAAAGAAGAGAGAAAGAGAAAATGTTCTGGGAAAATTCCTATGTTTTTTCTTCGGTTTACTTCACTACACTTTCAAAGTCTAGACGCTATGACGTCGAATGGTCGGGCGAGTGATGAACAATAAATTGGGGGGAAAAAAATCTTGAAGGAAGCGGTTGTGTCCTAAACAGTATACTTTCTGGCAGCTGCCTGCAGAAACTGAGGAAAGCTGTGAGAAACTTGTAGACGTTTAATACATCAAAGCTCATCAGCCGTAATATATTTTACTTACTTGTTGAAGAATGTATAATGCATGGGTGAAAAAAGAAATGCTTAGATAATTTTGGTCATTGAACCCGGATGGAGACAATTCTAAAGACCTAGATCAACGTAGACGCTTTCTGCCTTGGGGTTTCCCAACCAAAATGTTGAAAACATTACTATTTCCTCCATTCGTGTTACATGAACGCCGATCACATCCTCATTAATTTGGACACCATAATAATATTAGGTTAAAGGACAAATTAGAAAGTTGTTAATTACGTACAATTTCCCCCTCCGTTTCAACACTTGTTCTCAGAC